CCCAAGTCAGCACATCGAACTGTGTCAGCTCCCCTCAGCCTGAAACCCTCTGCACAACGAAAGCTACAGCTGGTGTTGTACTGAAATCCTCCTGAAGATGGGGAGCAGTCCATGCTTCCATGGGCAGGACTCTCTGGTGGCTCACATGCAATGGCTAAGTGGAAAAAGTGATCATTAGAAACTGGGTAATGGAAGGGCTCAATTCTTTCTCAGAAGAGCTCTTGAGAGATGCTACATCTTTCTGACCCGCATTGTCAGTCTATTCAGAACCCCAAATCCTCCCTTTCCCAGAAGGGGATCTGCCCGGAACACCTTATTCACCTGGACCACTGACCTGCCCTTCAAGTCTCAGTTTAGACTTCACTTTCCTTAAGAAGCCTTCCCTGCCCACCTCAGCTCAGGGTACCGGCTCTTCCAACGTGCTCCCGCAGCCCCCATTCTCGAGCTGTTCATGCACCATCGTGATCCTGCCCCTTAGATCACACCCTCCTTGAGTTCTCCTAGTGGTATCCGGGAGCCTGGCAGTGGTTGAGATATCGAAGTTTCTCTTTAAATATTTATTGGCAATATTTGTAAATTGGATCTGGATAGAGTAGAAATGGAACAGGCTGGACTTTCAAGGAGAAAGCTGGCAGAATGCAGCTATTGTTGACACTCTATCACCTAGCCCTATAAAACGGTCCCCAACAAACCATATCTCTGAAACACAGGATGTCATCCTAATCAGACTTCTATTGCTAAGAGAGTACAGCCCAAGGTCAGTTCCTGAGCACAATTAAGTGACCTCAACTCTGGTAAAGACTGGTTTCCTCATGCTCTTCCTTGATAAAGCATTTGATTTCCAGGCTATTCCTGGGCGGGGGGTGGGGGGAGTTTCAAAATATAAAGTCTACCCTTACACTGTGACCTTAGACCTCTGGTTTTTATAGGATCAGGGCATTTAAGAACCAAAGATTCTCTAGGGTTTCTCTCTTACTTTGTAGATGAGAAGTGGAAGGTTCAGAAATGTTAAGTGACAACCCTAAGGTCAGATATCTAGACAGTAGTAGAGCTGGGCTCATAATCCAGGACTCCCAGAATTCACTAATTTAACATGGAATTTCCCACTATCCTATTCCCCCTTTCTGCTTTGCAACATGAAGGTGTGAGGCAATTGCACAGAATTCAGTTTTGCAGGATTATGTAACTGCCTAGGATTATATCACAGCCTCTTTTTCAATGCAGTGTTCCTTTGCTTCTCTGTCAAAGGCTACCTCCAAGGCCCTCAATGAGCAATCTCTCTCTTTGTCCTAATAGCCGCTGTTCTGACTCTTTCTCAGGTATAGGATGTTGTCCCATGGCTTCTATATGCCAGTGAGGCAGGGAGGGAAAAAAGAGGCAGAAACAAAGGAGGATCAACTCCCCAGCTCTCGCTAGATACTTTATACATGCTACTTTGTTGTATACTTTTCATATACTTCATCCGCACGAAAGCTCCCTGCGACTCGTAGCTCATTTCACAAAGGAGAAAAATCTTGCCTCCTGGAGGCTAAACAACCCGTTTCAGTGTCAGAGCCCGGAGGAGGTCATCCTGATATTAAGAGCCCTTTATCTTTCTACTGTGCCATGACTCCTTCCCAGATGGACTGAGGACTGCTAAAAAAATATCCCACCTTCACAGACTGGCAAGAGTGTGGTCCCCTGACCAGGGTGAATGCAGTGGAGTGTGTCCTAGCTCCTCAATCCACAGCCAGCTTCACACTCAAATTTGCAGCTGGAGCCACATGCAGAGGCAGTGAGGGCATGAACACAGTCCACGGTTCCTTTGCTAAGGGCTGACACTGCACAGCTGGAGAGAACCGAGGACAGAAAGAAAGGTACTGAGGAAGGAAAAAACTATGCCCACAGCTGGAGAGCAATGGTGGAACAGCCTCTGGAAATCCAGGTGGAGCGAGAAATCTCTAAGGGTACGGGACCTGAGCAATATTCATCCAGACTTAAGAGTACCAGTCCCCAGGGTGACCTGAATCTCTTTTTTAAAAACTCCCTCAAGCTGTTTCTAATGTCCTCTATTCCCTTTACTGCTACCATCCTGGAAGGTCTTCGAGTGTCTAGATGCCATCTTTTCCCTCTTCTGTGAAATTTATGAATGAAGTCCTTCTGAAACTGCTTGAGGGCAGTGAGTTTTCGGGAAAGGAGGACTTTTAAATTTTGTTTAAAATCAGTAGTAAAATCAGCTCTTGTTTATCTAGAGCATGCCACTCTTCCTACCTTAGACGTACCCAGTCTAGCTGAGTGGTAGATAAAAGGAGAATCAACTTAGGGCGATTCAGGTGTTTCTCCATAAGCTGGTTAGTTTCATCTGTACTCTCAGCAAGAACCGGGTGCAGGGGACAGTCTACACCTGCAGCTGCCTGCAACTCACCTTTACACACTGGAGCTGGGGCTGTCCACATCCCTGAGGCTGTGCACTGCACCACCTCTGGCCCAGCTAATGCAAATCCCTCTTCACAACTGAAGCTGCAGCTGGACTGGTACTGGAATGCTTCTTCAGGGTGGAGGCAGGTCATGCTTCCCTGCTCAGGAGTCTTCAGGGGTGGACACTGGACAGCTAAAAACAACCACAGAGCAACAGCGTGAGACCTCGGGTTATGTCCAGCACCTTGGGAGCCTTAGGATGCTGCAACAGCAGACAAGGTGATGAACTTGGTTGGTTAACTAGTACTTCTAGTGATTGGAATGATCCAAACACCCTTATTTTTCATTTACTTCTTCAAAAAGAAGCAAGGTAAAATAATCAGATAGGTGATATCCAGCCCTAAATCATTATTCTACTCTGTTCCCTTTGCAACTAACAAAGGGAGAGGAATCCCTTTGTAATCCTTTTGCCTGAGAATCAAGAATTAAATTGACTACCTCATTCCACAGATACAAGATACCATGAAAATCAAACTTAGCCTTCCTCTGGTTGATGGGTAATTGTAATAACCACAATTTCCCGTCTAATGTAGACCCTCATTATTCCCTCTTTTTTAATGGAAGACGATTATCCTTCCCTCTGCAATTCTAGTTATCAGTAAGGATTGAGTCTACAGACCTACACACTGTGGGGGCTTATTCGTCCAGATTCCAGAAGCCAAACATTCCAGCTCGCGAGGTCCCTTCAATGTGTAGCCTTCAGCACAGTGGAAACTGCACTGTGAGTTGAAAGAGAAGTTTCCCAGAGGGTGACTGCAGTTCTTGAGTACATGCTGAGGGAGTTCAAGTTCTCCGCACTCTTTGACTGTGGGGACAAAATATTGATTTCTTTCTTAGCTGATTCAAAGGCAATGGTCAGGTTTGCGGAAAGCTGGAACTGTTTGTATGATCCTCTGAACTGTATCTCACTAGGCTTCTCACCCAACCTGTCATCTTTACCTGGTTCCGTTGTATTGGCTGCGTTTGGAGAAATAATTATTCTTCCACTGTTTGTTTTTTTTTCAAACAAGCAAAAGTAGCCTTTTACCTTTTGAGATTTTACGAGCAAACACTCCAAGAATAAAGTCTTTTAACGCAGAGTGTGTCTCAAACAGTTTGAATGAGGCAGACTGACAGAGGGCATGGAGAGGGGCTAGGACTAGCCTTGACTCACTGGAGAGTCTCCAACGTGACTCACTCCGCTGCATCACCTCTAGCACAGACCAAGGACCACAATAACATTGACAAAATAGTGCCCTCACCGTATTCACATTCTGGTCCATAGAATCCAGGGTAGCAGGAGCAGGTGTAGTTCCCGATGGTCTCGATGCACTCTCCTTGCTTGCTGCAAGATGTGTCCTGGCAGGAGGCTGCAAGTATACAGTAGGGTCAGAATCCTGGGCAATCCCAAGAGATGTGAAGGAAAGCTGGATTCTTGCTCCAAGCCGCAAACTTAGCCCCACTTGGGTAAGATTGAGCTGGCTAGACAGAAGAAAACCCCAGCATCCTCTGCAGAGCCAGCGCGTTCTCTGTGAAGGGCACTGCAGGAGCCTGCTGGAGCACTGAGCACTTTCCACTTTCCACTGCATTTAGTGTTGCCTAAGGAGGGATTGCCTCCTATGGACCCAGAGGGACAAATGCAGCCACCAACAGATGTTGAGACAGAGAAACTCCTCTTCGTGGCACAAATATATTGTGGCTTTTTAAACCAAGAGCATTCATAGATTTGTATTATTACAGAAGCTTCTATGACAGATATTCCAGCATGGAGGTTAGGAACCCGACATGGGTAAGGAGGTCACACGTAGATGATCAGAATCCACTCTCTGTTCCCCACTATTATATGACCTCAGGCAGGTTACTTCTTTGAGCCCAACCTGCCTAATGTTAGGGCCAAAGCCCTTCCACGTTTTGTTTGTTTCAAATCTACCCTCAGCACCACGTGATGGAGATACAGAGGAGCTAAAGCAGATGCTTAAGAGTTAATCATGATCAAGGACAAACAGCCTTTGGGTAGATGTGTCTCAGGTTTAAATATGACAGGGTTCGATGGTACAGAGCATGACTGACCCCTCAGTCCCTTCTCTGTGACACTTGGGTGACAGAACAGAGAAGGGCCAGGCTTTCTTTCCTGCAAGAGACTCTTTCCTGCAAGTAGGCACTATGCCCTTGGTGGCAGGTTAGTACTAGAATGGATACTGTGAAAGCACAGAGAATGGTTTTATTGATGAGGTCATAGTTGAGGGCTAGGTCTGTGGCCAAGCTGTTTTCTGGTGCTGTTTCCTGAGCCTGGCCACACACTGGTCCACACACTGGGGTCATCACAGGAAGAAATTTGTATGTCATGTAGAGGGTAGTGCTAGGTCATCTCTGTGTTCTCTCTCAGCTCTGAGATGCTGTAAATCTATAAGCCATGCAAGGTTCTACAGCAGAAAGTTCCCATGGGTTTGGTGAAGCTGCACTGGGGCCCTGGGAAGGGTTCCAAGTTAAGAGAAGATGCAGGAGGCAGCAGTAGCTCCTAGATAGAGGTTTGGTCCACATCTTCCATCCTGTTCACCTTGACCCACCAATGCCTTGCAGTAGCAGTACCTGCCTGCCCTATGCTCTTAGAACATGGCTGTAGCTTCCTCAGGATCTCAGAACTCTAGGAATGCAAAGACAGACAATGTTTTGCATTGCAACTAATATTAAATGGACTAATGATGCATGAACTAATCACAATTACTGATATTCCGTAGGCATTACAGCTGTGTCTCCTAGAGGCAAGGCCAAGTTCCCTCTCAGCTTATACTGTCTCTTATACTAGGGCACCATGGTGCAAAAAAAGCTCTGGGCATAAATTTTAGGAGACTACAGCTTCCCGAGCTTCTATTTCATCAATTATAAATTAGAAGGGTGGACCAGATGATATTAAAATTTCCTTCTGGTTTCAAAAGGCCAGTTTTCTCTAATCCCGATCTTCTGTCCTTCAGGGTGCTCAGTAACGCTGCTCAATTGACAGTTTACTCTTGGTTTCAGGTCCCTGACTTTCGCGACTCAGGGGGCTATCTTAAGGACCGGGAAAGGCATTTTTGGAAGCAGGCGGATTTCAGAGAAGAGAAGTCCCTACCTGTGTAGCACAGCGCCCGCTTTCTCTTCCAGCAGGGCTCGTCATTCCACTTGCCCGGGGCTGACACACTCTTGATGTAGATCTCCACACAGTCCTCATTGTTCTTGTTGTTGGGCTCATTGTCAGCCCAGTTCTCAGCCTCCTCGGTGAGCGTCTTTTTGGTTCCCACCCAGGTCCACTTATTGTTTATCTTTCGGATTCCAATCCAGTAGTAAGAGCTGTAGTAAGGTATGGCGTCGTTGAGGTAAGCAATCTCATTTTTGTTCTGGATGGCCACTAAATCCGTGTAGAACGTCTGGCAGTAGGCCCGGGAGTAATTCCACGAATACGGTTTGACGCTGTAGTTGTAGGTCCACGCTGCCACTCCTTTCTGGTTCACTAGTTCTAAGCAGAGGAGACAGAGGGCCAGGTTAGCATCTCCGGGGAGAAGGAGGCTGTGGGTATAAGTCTATTTTGATGTACTTATGATGAGTTTCCCTGGAAGACAAATACTGAGAACAGACTTTTTTATGTCTAATCTAGTTGTTTTAAGGAAAAAGAGTGGTTTCAATCTTTCACTTAAAAGTCTATGTGACATCAGTATAGGAAAATGTCCCCTTCTGAGGATCCCAGGTGTTAAAGACTTGACATCGTAAGATCCCAGAGTTGAAAGAGACTTTAGAGATGGTCTAATCTTCTCCTTCTGTAACTGGAGGAGATCTATGAGTAATGTGCCCAAGCCCACATTAAATGACGTGTAAAATGTCTTGATGGCTGCCTCGTATCTACAGATACTACCTCTTCACATGGAAAATAAAATGCCTGATGACCTGGAGCCTACCTGCTGACCCAGCCTCGTTACCCACCATGTTTACTTCTTTATCACAACAGAACTCCCACTTCCATGCCTTTGCACGTGCTCTTCCTGCAATTCTGCCTGCCCTCCCCAGTTCCACCTGGTAAACTTTGTCCCCCTCCTTCCTATAACTTCCCCGGGTGGGCTCGGTGTTCCTGCTTCCAGGCTCCCACCGCACCCCGTGTCTGCCTCCACCTCCCCTACTGCCGTGTATTGTGACATCCATTCATATGATGTGGGCCACACCTGCTAGACTGTGCATCCTGGTGGGGGTCTCTTTTTACCACCAGATTCTTTACGCCAAGCATAGAGCTTAGCACTTAACAGGCATTCAGTGAACACTTGTGAAACACCTCAGGTCTGATTGGGAGGCTAATCAGATCTCCTGGTTTGCTGTCCGACATTCTTTCCACTGCTCTTGGCTGTTCCTCTTTGATAAATTACTTCCTTCATCTCTGCTTACTCACTTGTTAAAATTGGGCTTAACACAGGCCTTTAAAAAAATAGTTGTGATACATATCAAATGAAATAAAGAATGTGCCCTTCCAGAGAATCAAGTACACTAGGATGCAAGGTATTGTTACTGTAGCCGGTGGGCGCTCACCCCCAGCCCGCAGAGGCCAGTTCCCATGCACAGAGGTGTACAGTGTAAGCCATCAGACCTGGAAGTGGCTCTTTCCTGTTTTTAAAGTCTTGCTCCTATTCACCCCTCTCTTTTGCTACCCGCACAAGGGTAGGTTGTTTTTATTTCTCCTCGTGGGCACTTCGATGGCATTATTTTGCTGTTAAGACTTTTTCTGATCCCCCTAGGCCTGCGTTTTTGTTGGTGTGAACTTCAGGCAGTTTTGCCTTTGGAGTCCCCTTCGTCCTTCATTTTACAACTGTATTGCAATAAAAATGAACATATTAATAACATAGACTAAACCATGTTTTTTGACCAAGCAGAAAATGATTTTTAAAGAAATTAAACATTTTTTTGTGGGTCCCTCAGAGTAAGGTGGGCCTGTGCCCAAGGAGCCTAAAGGATAAGATGGGTCTGGACAGATCTGTTTCTGTTCTTCATGAAGCTTTTTCTACCAATATCATGGTTTTGGATGCATTTTCCCTCCAGGAATCTGGGCTTGGACAGTTTTCCCGTGCCTCACAACTGGCTACCGTCCTTAACATCTCCCACTTGGAGAAGTTACCCTAATCACTGAGGGCCAGGTGAAGGGTTCATATAAAGTTTACCAGTGATGAGGACACTGAAGCAAAGGAGTTGGACAGTTCTGAAGACCGCTCTCTGAAATCTCCAGTTCCAGATGGCTCTTAGGCAGCTGGCCTGAAATAAGAAAAGAAAACTTTTTTTTAGTATCTCTGTGCAAACAATGTGGCCAAAAAATTTGAGTTAGTAATCATTATATTGAGTTATAATCCTGCCTGTTTCTGTTAGGGGATGGCTGAAGCCCTCTGCTCCCTTTTTGAATTCTCACTGATCTGTTGGTCCTGCCCTAGTTGGACACTGCACCAAGGCTGAGGACAGAATTCATTTCTTCACTCATTCAACAAACATTTTATTATTAATTTATCTGGGGGGAGGGAAGTAATTCAGTTTATTTAATTTTTTAATGGAGATACTGGGGATTGAACCGAGGACCTCATGTATGCTAAGCACACACTCTACCACTGAGCTGTACCTAACCCCCTCAGCAAAACTTTATTGAGTAATTGCTTTGTGCCACTTGTATTTTTCTTTTATGACATATTTGGTAATATGCACATAAAAAACTCCACTGTCATTATTTTCATGCAGTAATCTCCCTGTAAGAGCTGGTATGCCATACCCAGGAAAACTAGGAAGTCACGTGAAAACTCCCTGATCCACACAGTTGTCTGACCTACACTTTGATGCACAGAACATCAGCTAATTGTGCTGAGCTATGCTGTCTATTCTGTATTATTGCTCTGTGTTTTCTCTTCTTGCTTTACCACTTCCCCGTGTATCTATAATACTATTCAATGCTTAATATATGTGTATGAATATTTACATGTAATATTCATTCATATATGTATAGTAAACTTATTCCCCTTAGATCTATAGCAAGTATGATTTCTCATGAGCTCCCTTCTGCTGGGATTACATCAAATCTGTTAACATTTTTCAAGTAGTTTTAGACAAGTAAGTTCTCAAAATGCTCATCCAACTCCCTCATGTTACATATGAAAATACTGAAGTTTGGAGAGTCTTAAAATACATATTCCAAAGGACAGAAGCAGAGTCTGACTTTGAAACAAAAGCTTTTTCCCCCTTTACTGTTTTGCCTTCATACCTCGGCTTCCAAATCCATCCTGCATTGTTGTTGTAGATGATAGAGTGTGTGACACACCCAAGCTTAGCTGACCCATCTGTGTCCCTCCAGAGCCACCAACATAACCACCAACATTAAAATAGTGCATTTGCTTTATAACTGAAGCTTTGTTACTCTTCCAGCCAAACTGCTACCCCAAGCCCCTCCTATATAGAAATTCTCAATTGCCAGAGACCAGGCTCCAGTGATGGATGATGTAGGGTAGATGGGGTGGTGGTGGTGATGGTGGTTGTGATGGTGTATGTGTGCGCAGTGCACATGCCCTATTGACTACAGCTCGACCAGATAGTGAAGTGGAGATAACTCAAATCAGTGCATGACTCCTAGACAGTGGGGTTATCTTTGTGCAAGAAGCCTGGCACTTTTCCATCCAAGAGTTTCTGAATATTGGCTTGGATAAGTAAACATATTTTGTATTCTTATGAATTAGGACACTAATCAACTGGCCTCCGCAGGACCTATGGTCAGACACTGAGGCTATCATGTCATGATTGATGGTGATGTTGATTTGCACAGGAAATGTAGTGATAATCTCTTAGTGGGAGCTTAATTCCGCTGAGTCCTCTCTGGATTGTATTGTGTCACCAGCTATTATTAGCACCACATTTCTATTCAATACCCCAAAAGTACCATACCAGGTTCTATAGCAGAAATCTTTAAATCAGGATAAGCCTGGCTTCCCAAGGGGTAAACAAGCAAGGAGAATTTAAGTAAATCTGTGTTCAGATTCCCAACTCCACCATGTACACTTTCCTAAAGCCAGTCTGCTTAAGAATATATCTTTCTCTCATTTTACAAAAGAAATCACACCTTTTACTAATCTGACTCTTATTTATTATGGGGTCTTGCCCCCTTATGTAATAAACATTGGTGTGCCAAACAGAGACCATCCAAAATATTGGTTTAGATCTTGAGAACTTGAATGTTCCAATGGTATTGTGACAAATCCTTTCAAGCCCAGTGGTTTCTACTTCTCTTCTTTCATCAACTTTGATGGAGACCCAATTAAGCTGTCAGTTGCTGGACTATTGCCTAAACGTTGATAATAAATCATTCTGTACTTTAGGGCATGTAACTTGAAAGGAGTTCAAAGAATTGAGAGATAATGCTCTAATAAGCTTCCATTCCAATTTATTTATTCATATGAATTAAGTTCCTCAGTGTTTAAATCCTCCAAAATGAAATTCAGGGATAGAATTGATGTTGAACTTGCTTGATTGTATCAATAAATAATACTCATACAAGTTACATGAGTAGGGAAAGAGCCCTTCCTCTTATATAGAGTTGCATCTTAAGTAGCATTTTAAATATGAAAGTTTAAGTTTCTTATCAAAATTGTTTGTAGTATGTTTAGGCTATTTTATTTAATTGTGTATTAAAAGTAATTTTTATGTTAACTAAATCAATAATGAAAAATTATAACACATAGAGATTTATGGTTTCAGAAAATTGAATCTTACATTCCAGTCTATTATGTTTTTATTTTTGTAAAGAAGTGTGATATAGTTACCAAGATAAGACTTTAAGCTTAAAAATATTGGGCTAAAATTCTGTAGAGGAAGTGAAATAGAAATATGTATTAAAGAAGAGAAAATAAAACTTCCTATTTTTAAGGGACTAGTTTGTTTTTTTTAAGTGATAAGGGTTAGCATGTTGATTGGATCACTATGTTATTTAATCCCATTGAATAAACTTTAGGAAATATTGTAACATTGATTTATCACAAAAGGCCAATTTTTACAATGGACTGGAAAATCCCATCTTTTGTTACTCTAAAAACTTTCTAGCTCTCCACTTACAGGTTATGTAATTTTCCAGAATATTTTTTCAGGTACAGAAGCAAAAATATTGGGGCTGAGGAGCACAATAATCTACCCTTCATATACGGGACCCCAGTATTTGCCTTCAAACCTGGGCTGGGTTTCTTCTCAGATCAACTGGGAGAGGATCGCAGTGTTTTTAGCTAGTGGTGTTCTCCCTGTGCCCTTAGAAGTGGCTTTCGTCCTGCACAGAGTATTCCTAGGGGTTTCTCTGGCTGTAGGGCCAGCTCAAGGAAGTGTGTTGGGACCGTGAAGAGGTGAGACTCCGAATCCCCTATCCCCATTCCCAACTCCACCCACCACGTCCCAACAGGCCTGTTTTATGTTTTAACTTGCTTGTTTGTGTAAACTTTTAAAAAACTATTTTATTTTATTTTTTGGTGGGGGGAGGTAATTTGGCCTATTTGTTTATTCTTAGAGGAGGTGCTGGGGATTGAACCCAGGACCCTGTGCATGCTAAGCATGCACTCTGCCTCTTGAGCTACACCCTTCTCCCCCATGTGTAAACTTTTAAATATGGTTTGGGTGAAACAAAATTGAGAAAGAGAGACAAGGGGGGTTGTGGAGAGAAAGAGAGAAGGCAAACTGTTTTTTTTTTTAACAGTTTAAAGTGTTAGAGGACCTATAGGTGCTTCTGATCAAGGTACAACATCAAATTAAAGGAAAATGCTAAGTCACTGTGTGTCCCTGCTTAAATCTGACCGTACTTAACTGTTTTTTTAGAATCACCAAATACCGAGAATCACCTCTCCTAGAATATTTGCGAGCTGTAGGATTACTACCAAATCAATGGAGCATTTCCCTAGCATTCTTCAGCAGGTCTTTTGGACCGTGAATGCTCAGGATTACTCTCCATCACTGAGACTCAGTGAGTTCATCTGAGTTGCCAAACTTGCTCACCAGAATGTATGTCAGATTAACACAGTGATTCTTATTCTCATAGGACTCATGAACTTCTCTGAAAGTCTGATAAAAGCCATAGTCAGGATTCTTCAAAAAATGCACACTTGAAAATGCGTAGACAATTTCCGTGTTTAATGGACCCCAAAAGTTCAAATCTCTGTGTTAACTGTAACATGTTGACAACTGACAAGGGTTTTGTGTGTGAATGTGGAAGACGGATGATGCTTCAAAATCTTCCTCCAAGTAATCATTTTCCTTGGAAACTTCCTTGAGGTGGGCAAGCTTTGTCACGTCTGCTCTTGATCTCAGTGTTGTCCTAAGGACAGGACAGTGCTGGATCTAGGATGCTGAAGAGTTAAGGACTCTGTCCTTGTGTTTGTTACTAAGCAAGTTAAATGCTGACCCAAGAGGAAATGCCTCTTTAGGAAAAGCAGCCACGTGCTCTGCTATTCTTTAATGTTCTCTGGCAGCTGGCTTCAAACTGAAAGTCACTGGGAAGAAGTCTGAGACCGGGCCATTAGAATAACATCCTGCACCTCTATAAACCTTCATTAAGGCTGCTTTGCACCGTGGTTATCTTTCATTTTACTTTCCAAGAAACTAACAGTGATTGTAGGATGAAGAGAGGGTAGAGAGAAAGTAGGAGGAGCAAGTGTTTTTCCCTCCACGTTACTTTGCATAGAAAGAGATAGTAGATGCCAGCAGGGATCCTCTGGCTGCCAGCATCCTAGGTGGCTTACAAAGCTGGCAGGAATAGGACCACAGAAAGGAGATTCTGTTCTCCTGGGTATGTTGTAGACCACAGCTTTGCACATTTAGAGGCAGAACCTACAATGTGCCTCCCTAGACCCTCTGTCTTCTGCTTAGCCCTGTCTGAGTTCTCTCCTTCCTCTCCAGTTCAGTTTTCTTAACTTGCTTGCCCCTATTTCCTCTCCAGCCACTGTTCCTTAGTTAACCCTGCCCCTACCACAATTCTAAAGTGCATTTATAACAAAACATCTTGTAATTTCCAGAATGCTCTGTATCTTCCCTATGTTCTTCTTATGCCCAGAGCACCTCTCCTTCTATGGGTGCTTAGCTCATGAGTCCAAAAATCTCTTCCTCCTCAGAGCCTTCCCTATAACCAGTCCCTTCTCCCCCACTCCAAGAGAGGTGCACCCTTGTTATCACCTGCATTCTTTCCCATTACTTATTTGCATAACTATTGATTTATTAAGTGTCTACCATGTGTCAGACACTGTTCTAGGTATTGGCATTAAAATGATAAAAGCAGACACAATTCCTGTCCTCATGAGATGTTCATTCTATGGAAAACAGACAATGAAACAAACACCAATAAATACACAGCAGTACTGAACAAGTAAACATCAAAAAATAGAAGACAGTGCTAAGTGCTAGGCAGAGAATTAAAGCCGGGTGATGTGATAGAGTGACATAAGACATTCTATAGATAAACATGTCCATCAGAGGAGACCCCTCTAAGGAGGTGACATTCAAGCTGAGAGCAGATGGCCAGAGGAAACTAGCCAGTAAGAAGCAGGAGCAAGGGGGAAGGGTATAGCTCAGTGGGAGAGCGCGTGCTTAGCATGCACAAGGTCCTGGGTCCAATCCTCAGTACTTCCATTAAAGATAAATAACTAAATAAAAATTAAAAAAGAAAAAAGAAGCAGGAGGATGAGCATTAAAGACAGAAGGAAACACTAATGTGAAGGCTTTAAGGTGGAGGAAAGTGTGGAGTGTTCAAAGAACACGAAGATATCAGTGTGGCTGGAAAAGAATGAGCGAGGGGAAGAAGAGTGTGAGTAAAGCTGGTGACAGACCACTCTGGGCTTTGGGAACCAAAGTAAGGAGGTGAGACTGTCATAAGTGCAATAAGAAGTGGGGCAGCAAGAGGACTTTAAGAGAGGTAGTGATGTGGTCTGACTAACGCTGAAAAGTGGGAGGTCCTAGAGGTTAATTGAAAAGGAGGTAGGTTGGGGCCAGATGGTGTGAGTCTGAAATGGTAGTTGCCAAAGGGATCCAATTGCCGTGATTCTGAACAGAGAAGGGTCCTGAACAGATGCATCTAACAATGGTATTTTTTTCTAATTTGAGATAATATTATCATTGGTAGTCTTTCAAATTAAAAAAGCAGCAAGTTTACAAGTGGTTCTAAATTAATTATCTCTTGAGCATTTATTTAGATACACTTCTAGCACACTACGAGGTACATGGTGGGCCACTGAATAAATATTTGCAAATATTGGGTATTATAGTATGTACAAAATCAGTTTCCTTTGGCTTAGAAATTTCTTTTGGGGAAAAAAAGAAAGTTAAAGAGGGCCAGTGGGAATGCAAAAGGGAGAGGTAGATGAGGGAGGCATTAAGGAGGCAGAACAATACAACTTGTTGTTGGCAGAGTCAAGATTTTCAAGACAATACAATTGACATCATATTATTTCCCTTATGTTTCAGGGTAGTGGTGGTGGTGGTATAGCACAGAGATTAGTAGCCCCAGCCTAAAGGTAGAAAATGAAACAGTGAAAAAAGGGGTCTGTAAGCCGAACAGCAAATTAGAAATAAAGACAAGAGTGAACCCGAAACATCAGCACTTAAGAATCAAAGCATACATATATTTAAATTAGACTACTAATCACCATTATTTAGGGTGAAATATCATTAAAAATAAAGTAGCATGCTTAAAAAAATTTTTAACTCTTTTGGACCATGACTGAGGTATATATCTACAAATATAAAGGATTTGTTTGGTATTTGACTTCACAAAATTTCTGTTTTGCTTTTCAATCAGAGAAGTGAGACCCTTAGAAGACAATGTAACGAATGTCATTCATGAAACCACCATGTGCCTACTCTTTGGGTTCAAGTCCAGGCTCTTTTCCCAGTACCACCTGTTATGTAATGAGTCACTTTGATTTATGAGGATTTGATCGATAACCTTCCACTTACAAAATTCTCAAGCCCAGGAGAGTGAGAACCATTTAATTACATTTGAAAAACAGGTAATGGAAGGAAGAGTAAGAACTGGAACCAACAGACCTAAGATGGTTAAAAGGTGTGAATGGAAGTGACACCAGATCTGCCCCCTTGCCCACTCACCCCCTGACTAACATCATCATAATTTAACTGTAAGTCCCCCATCTTGAGCTCCCCCCCTGAGATCCATTTGATTGAAAACGCCCCACTAGATAAACCTTAATATCTTTCCTCAGGCCCTAGAGGTTAATTGAGTCCACTCTGAACTTGAAGTCGAGTTTACATACAGAGTTTGAGGTTCCTGAATTCCAAGAGCCACATGTGTTCAGGAGCAAAGGGAAGGACCTTGTCTTTGGAATACTGAGAAAGAATTCCAGAGCTGGACTTCTTAGTACTTCTTTGCAGTGTTCCAGCCTAGTTTCAGGATGCCATTGGAGGAACTTCTGAGCATAAAGCAGAAGAGGCCACAGGGTGAGGTTCTTAACCAGGGACCCATGTGGAGGTCTGGGAACCCCCTGCGGTTGTCCGTAAAGCTCAGTGTTTATGTGGATGTCTGCATTTTCATTTGGAAAGAGGAGTTGTGCCTTTCATCAGTATCTCAAACAAGTCTATGATTCAATATGTGAATATCCCTCTGAAATAGAGGAAGATCCCAAAGAGAATAGAAGGAAGAAAGAAGTAACTGCTCACTCATTTAAGTTGACCAATTCAGGAGAAGGATGATATGTGAGAGATAACAAAAGTAATCCCATTCTTATGTCATTGGAGTTCAAACTCAGGACAGACTCAAACTCCTTCCTCTTCTCTTCATCATCCTTTTATCCCTATCCTCCCCAACACAAAAGTATTCTCATTACGAGTATTTGAAAAGTGTCCTATAGTAAAGCAAAGAGATGGAGTTAACCAGGTCTAAGGGCTACTTTTCTTCTGGTAGCCCACAGAAAGGGGCTCAAAAACAGGGACAGTGTCTAGCCATAGAGGGCAGGATTTTGGACCCTGGGACTGTTTGAGACACTCCTGGTAAAACCATGTTTGTCTTACCTAGGATAATGGTCACGAGTTCAGGAATGCCCAGAAATTATACCACAATGAAGTTGCTTTTTTAAGAAGTTACATTATTGCAGAGTTTGAACCTCACAGATACTCAGTTGTAACTAACATTTGCGTGTAAGTGACATTTGATTTTTTTTTCCCTAAAATATCCTACCCAAATTAAATTTCTTACAATTGGGAAAAATCCTTTTTCTCTGGATCTTCCCGAGATCCCAAATTCCACTAAACCCCAGGAAGTTTCTCTTTCCCGTAACAATAACAGGTAACATTTACTAATCAGTAACTATGTGCTAGGCTCAAAATGCTTTTTGATGTAAACATATTTAATCCTCACAATGACACTGTAAAATAGAGTACTATCATCCTATCCATTTTACAGATGAGGAAACTGAGTCACTAAAAGGATTGAGAGTTAGGGCAGTAATGGGAACCATGTGAGTATTCCACATGGGTCCCAGTAGACTGCTGGGGCTCAGAGAAAGAAATAGGAGGGCTGGAGATGAGAAACCATTCAACTGTCGTCAAGGCCCGGGACACTGGCTCAGCCTCACATTGAGCTCAGACAGATGAGCAATCCTGGAGAAGGGGTTAAGAGTTTACCAAGATCTGCTCCAAGAGAGTCTCTGAAAGCCCTAGAAGGAAAAACAGCAGGTGTGGAGCTGGAGGGAGGGAGTCCAGATCCAGACAAAATCCGGTCTAACAGCACACCTCAGGTAAAGCCCCCAGCCTCTGGAAGGCACAGTGGCCTCATTTGGAGCATGGAAATAGCAACCTAAACTCACAGGGATGCTGGGAAGGTCAGAGTGGACAGCAGGTTTTGAAATGCTTACAAACTCGGAAAGGCTATTCAACATAAAGCCCCATGACTGTTGCTGTTCCTCATTTTTGGAACCTTTACCTGCCTGTCTCAGCCCCAAACCACTTCAGCCCAGCCACTTCCCATAGCAAAGAGCAATGAACTCACCATCTCTTCGGCTGGCTTTCTGCTTTCTGTCCAAGCGAGACTTCTTACAGTCTTATTGCCTCGCCTCAGCTGTCACGCTGTTTAGAAAAGCAACTTCCTATTCACTTTCCTGAAAGTCATCACATCACTTCCCATGAAGTTGGAATAATCATAATACAGGGAGCAGAGCTGGCAGCTTTGAAATAAGTCACCAGAGGAGGTGTGCGGGGGTGGGTCACCTACTTCCATGGGAGGGGGTCAGGAGATGGGGCAAGTGTGAATCACTCCTGGATAGCCCAGGCTGAGTAGTGCAGGGATATTTCCCACAACCCCAAGGGTCGGGTTTCCTTTGATTATTCTGAGCCCCAATTAAGGTCACATACTCAGAAAACACACTTTGTGTTAATCATGTCTCCATGTAAATTTTCCAGTTATCGTGAAATCTTAGGGAATATTTTCTATTCCAGTTGCCTTTTGAGAGATGAGGAGCAAAAAATAGTAACAAAGAATAATTAGATGGGAAAGAGAAAAGCCAGGGGGCTTTTCTGGCAGTTGGAGGCAGGGTTTTGGTGTGGGGGGATTGTTGGAAAGAGTTTTGAAGTGAAATATAAACCAAACACAGGTTATTGTTAGAAAGGAAATTTTGCTTCTTAAATCAGAAAAAAAAGATATAAAAATGGAGGGGTTAGTGTAGGGGAGTAAAAAACTGTGTGACATAGGGGTTAAGACTTGGGCTCTGTGATCAAACTGCCTGAGACCCACCTGTCTTGGCTCCAGGTGTGAGTATCCATTAGGCAGATTACTCTGTTTTTTTTTCAACTGTGAAACAAAATGATAATAACAGAACTTACCTATGGGATTGTTATGTAATTGAGTTAATACATGGAGAGTGCTTAAAACAATATCTGGCAAACAGCTGGATTACAGTTGGAACTCATCAAATGTAGGCCATTATTATTACTTTTCCGTTTTGCTGAAGAGACAGCAAAATCAAGTGTCCAGCATTTAGCGTCAAGTGAGAAAACCATAACCCCAATTTATCCTCTTAGAATTCTGAGTGTGCAGAAGTGAGTGCTAGTCTTCATTCACTTGATGGTTACTACAGCATGTCGGTAGGCATCTCATGGGTAGATTAAAAATGGAATAAAAAGGGAAAATCTGGAGAGAGTCCAAAGATAAAGATGATTTAAGGTGCTTGGAGCTTCATTTGCACTTAGGAATTTGGGTTGAAGAGGAAGAGACTAATACATAGTAGAAATCGAAAGACTGGGGAAGGAGGTGGTGATGGAGGAATGGTAGTGGGGGGACTGGGGATGCTGAGAGAGAGGGAAGCACCGAGGGACATCGGGCAGCGTAATGCGGGGATTCGGAGCCAGACTGCCTGTCTCCACTGTCTGTCAGCTGTGGGACCTGGGCAGTTCCCTCAGCTCAGTTAGCAAATAAACGTAATAGTCACCAGTTACCATTACATGGAAGCGTTAGGACAATTGAATGGATTTACATGTGAAGTGCTTAGAACAATACCTGGCGCCCTGTTAAGTGCAGGGGATGTGCTGGCTATTGTTTTTATAAGACTTGCCTGTACTTCCTCCTGTTCTTATTTTCACTCTTCCTGGCATTGCCTCATTTTTTAAAAAACAATTTCTCAGATGGATATAAGGGAAGGTGCTATGTAGATTATAGGTTCTTACCAACACTGTGTTTTAAGTAGAATAATGTTCAATTTTAGGAAATATCAGGGAAGTAGAAAAAGATTCCGAGGACTAGGAATGAAAGGAAAATACCAGTAGACTGTTTAAAAGGTATAGCTCAGTGGTAGAATGTTAGCTTAGCGTGCACAAGGTCCTGGGTTCAATCCCCAGCACTTCTGGTAAAAATGAATGAATGAATATAAAATAATCAAACAAACAAACCTGATTACCTCCCCCAACCAAAAAAAAAAATAAATAAAAAAATAAAAAAGGAAATCAAGAAAGCTGTGCAGGCCGAATACCATTTATTCATATGAATTTAATCTAGGTGGGAAATTTAGATCGTTTCTATTTAAGTGGCCACTAAAAACATGATGATTCCAATATAATTTAATTAGTAGTGTTATTTACCTCTTTCATATATGTTTTCTCATCTCTTTGCATCATGCTCCAAATTCCCAAAGGGCAGGGGCGCTTTTTCATATTGGTCTTGCTTCACCTGTAGTATCTAGCAGAGGGCAAACAGACATCCAACAAGTACTTGTTGATTTGTTGATTAGGTTGATGGCTCTAAGTAGATACAGTAAAAGTGCTCCCTCTCATCTTCTTCTCTTAATTCTATCTATCTTATTTCAGTGATGCGTTCATACACACAAGAAATATTTAAGCCCCTTCAGGGCTTCAAGCAATGTGGTAACACCAGGGATTCAATAATGTGCAAGTGCCTTGTGGAGCTCACAGTTGTTTTATTTGTGGGGTGGTGTTAGACATTAGATAAGAACCACACAGTTAAATGCAAGAAGGGAAAAAAAGATGATGTGGGAGAACATTCTAGGCCGGTTAAGGCTGGGAGCCACTAGACAGCCAGGCAGGAGGGTGGGAAAGGAGGCTGGGGAGTCAGGGAGTGCCCAGACCACGCCAGTCGCCCAGGCCAGGTCAAGGTTGTGTCTTTGTGTGTAGCCTCTGCCATCAGTTGAAAGAGAAGGCAGCTAATTCCTTGGGAAGGTCTACCTGCATAGCTGGTCCCTCTACTCAGAGAAGACTAAGGAACTTTCTACATATTAGTCTATAGGATGACAAGTCAGAACTTCAAAAAAAGAACACAGAGCTTTATTCCCCCTTATTGTTCATATAGTACATGTTTGTTGTAAAGAAAAGAAAATTCAGAAAATTACAGAGAAGGAAAAAAAATCATAATGCTGTCACCAAAGGAATTGGAATCATGTTGTATATTCAGTACAATGCTTTTTTCGTTTGATAATATATCATAAACCATTCTGATGTAATATTTCTGCTCTAGTTACAACTGAAAAAACCCCAAGTGTCTGTCATTCTCCAGATGGCTGACATGGTAGACAAGGATGTCAGCTCTCCCCACACAGCTTCGGAAGATATCTAACACAATCGTCATGAACTGCTAACTCTTCCTGCTGAAGTTCTATTTAAATTGGTCTGTGGTATTACACTCAAGCATTTCGTTTCTCTATCTCTGCTCTCCAGTTTTTGAAAGGGAAGGAAAGACAAGAGGATCTATCATCTGGGCAAAGGTCTCAAATAGTAAACATGAACTTTCACAAAACTCTCCACCCGCATAACCTTAAATGGAAATCAGATTCTCTGGACACTTCTCATTACCATATTTATGCTCCCTTAACTCCATCCAGGGTTCATTTATTTGTCCTACACATTTTTGTAAGGATCTATTCTGTGCTACCATCTAAGCTACACACTGGAGACACACAGATGAATAAGACGCAGTCCCTGTCCTGAAAGAGCTCAAAGACTAATGAAGAGACGGGCTAGAGGCGTAACTGTAACAACACGGAGGAGACAGTGTATCGTGCGCATGCTCTTGTGTGAGCTGCATGAGAACACACCTAACTCAGTCTGATGGCGGCAGTGGACATGTGGTTGGAAAGGATGCTTAGAGGAGTTGACCCTTGAGCTTGAGTAAACTAAGTCAGATTCTTTTGTGCAAGCTCAGAGGTTGGACATGAATACACAGAAAATACTGTAAACTCAGCAGACGAATTAGGAAGTGGTTTTTGTATTAGAAGTATTTTTGTCCTTCCAAGAGCATATTGTGTCTGGGGCCCTTTGATCACCAGAAGGCTGTGATAACCACAGAAAGGTTATCACCTCCAGTTAAACACTAGAAGTTAAATGGGTGACCTGTGTGTAGATGAACACTGTGGATAGCCTCTTTCAAAGTCGCTGAGGAAGGGAAGCAGAGATATTGTTACATTTATGAGCTACCATTGCAGAGCCCTTATTCTTGAGCCAGACCCTGTGCTAAGCATTTGTATCTCATTTAAATCCTCGCAACAACCTTATGAGTTAGGTTCCATCTGTAGCAGGTGGCTCATCCACTCAGAGATTATTACAATACACATTTCATTAAAAAGGAAATTGTGGCTTGCGGGGTTAAATGTCTCTCGTACCATGACAGAGCTGATAAATGAAAAAGAACGGGATTCAAATCTAAGTCTGGCTGAAATGATACTACGCTAAAATGTGGGGTTTCCATTAAACTCACCAAAGTGCACTATCTGGAAAAAGAAGAGGTCCTGGTGACCCCCTTCCCTTGGTTTTCTGGTGGATATTCTGTGCTTGAGATCTCTGTTAATTAAAGATGAATCTAGAGAAGTGCCCCTCCAGTTAATTCAGCTTTTCGCTTAATTGGGGATTAATTAATTTTTGCAATAAGACCTCTCAGACCAACATCTGTCTGTGTAGCAGCAGCGTCAACAACAATATGTTGAATGTCCGTTACACATAGAACATTGTTCTAGGTCTTGGGACTTCACAAGGCATGAGACTCCGTCTGTGGAATCTATGTGGAAAGCTGCTCTAGGAGCTTTCAGTTCTGATTAGAGATATAAGTCAGATGCAAAGAAAGGAGAAATGCCTACATGAGACAGATGAGAGGGCAACCAGGGTTCAGGGAGAGAGGGAGATGGTACCAAAGATACAGAACAGGAGGTGTGTCTTGTGCTTTCTGCCCCAACCCCGCAAGTCTATATGATGTCAGCCTCCCATGGCTCCCCATAGAGCTGTGAATGTTCCCAGACAGCCAATTCTATTACAGTTGACCTTGAACAATGTAGGGGTTGATTTGCATGTAATTTACTGTTGGCCCCCTGGTATCCTGGGTTCCTCCACATCTGGAGATTCGACCAACCACAGACCTTGGTACTATATAGTATTTACTACTGAAAAATATCTGTGTCTAAGTGGACCTTGACAGTTCAAACCCATGTTGTTCAAGGGTCAACTGTATTTAAAATGCCATTATTTTTTAGGTTTTAGAAATTCAACAACTTCAGATTAAGCAGAGAGGAATTGTAGGCAGAAATGCATTCTACACTTCCTCCCAACACACATGCACACACACTGCACACTTTTTTTTTTAAAGAGTATTATTTTTAATTGTAATGAGTTTATGAGTCTGGTGAATGTAGAATTTTTCCGTTTTCTTTA